TATATATCACATATCACAAGCTCTGTGGTATTAGGTTGAATATCCCCACTTAAACTTAAGACAACGTTTTTGATAATGCTGGCTACTTTAAGAAAATGCAGCTTTTGCGATTTAAAATTTGAATTTACATTGTGATTTCAATACAAAAATGACAAATCTTTCAACCCTATATCCAACGTGGAATTTATTTTAGTGTTTTATTTTTTTTTTTTGCGGGGGGGGTCGTGGCGGGGTTCAAAGTGATTTTTTGCTCTTAATTTCATAGCATAGGGCCTCATTCACCAAACGTTCTTAAAAAGAAATTTCTTTGTAAAACCCACTTACGCAGTTTTCCTGAAGATTTTCACATTCATGAACGTTTCCTCATTTGGGATTTGCTCTTAGGTAAGAAGAGAATCTACCCACACTCAAGAACACAAAGGTGTGAACAATTCTGCGTTTTAAGAACACGTCATGAATCTGACGTAGACTTTTTCTGAGAACCTTCGTGAAGAACACATTTAAGAAAACATCAGGAAGATATTGGTCAATGATGCCCTACGTATTACTTTTACAATCTGAAACTTTTATTTTGACAAAAAAACAATCGCCGAGGCCTTCCATTGCTGACGTATTTAGGAGGCGGGGGTAGAAGGACGGTTCAGTTTAACGAACCGATTCTTTCAAAACATTTACTCGGATTCTACGATTCCCTGATTCACGATGTTTTTTCGTAACTTGAAAAAATCATCTAAATTTAACTAACTGATTCTGTCGAAGTGTTTAGTCCGATTCCATGTTTCTTCGATTCACAATGTTTTTTTTTTATTAACATGAAAAACCATCCTAAATCAAACGAACCGATTCTTTCGAACTGTTTAGCCATGTTCAGCGATTCTTTGATTCGCGATTTTTTTCTTACCATGCTATAATGGCGGTGATCTGTATTAGAATTTTACCGCGTTACGTTTTGAAACCATTGATTAAAACATTAGTCACTAACCTATAACACGCGTGGATACCGCAGAAAGTTTCGATTCAGTTGGTCTTGTGAAACGGCTCGGTTAAGTGAACGGAACCGGTTCAGTAACGATTCATTTACGAGTCGGCGCGGAAAACAAAACTTGCAGCGGTTTGTTGTTACTGAGCGCAGCAACTGCTGAGCTCACTGTGTCTCCTCCTGGGTCGATTTGCACAATTTGGTTTTTGGATTTAATCGAAATATATGTTCAGTACACCCTCAGATAAATAACTAGTTTGTTTTGAACTGTCAAACCGTGAAATTTATCCTTTTAGCCGTGTAAACACCTGTTACTAACCGGCGAGAGAGAGAGAGAGGGAGTTAACCTACCTGGCTAACGCTAACTGTTTACCTATCAAGTAACAATTGCGGCTCATAGCAACGCTAAGCGATATAAATACGGCTACTTCTCAGACTTATTCGTTAATTTTTGCGCTGCTTTGCTTTTTAATGTTGAATATTTGGTCAAATTAACCTCTTGGTTTTCGAGTATTTTTATCTTTTCACTCTTAAGAGAACAAAAAAGAGAAATGAGCTGCGCTTTGGTGAGTGTTGATTAATTAGTTTGGTTAGTTAGTTAACTAGCTAACCAAGCTACAAACTTAAAAAAAAGATGGTTCTTCAAGGGTTCTTTTGTAAACGGAATGGATCTGTTCTGTTGAGAGCCATGAGTTCTAGCTATATAAAACCATTTGCATGCTTAAAAGGCTCTTTGCATCGTGAGCATAGTAAAAGGGTTCTTGAGATTGATGGAGAATGTGTTGTATAAAGTCTGCTACTGTTACGATGTCTAGCTTGAAGAGCTATCTTTTTAAAGTGTGTAGGTAGTTATAGTAACGTTAGCTTAGTAATCTCTAGAGGTGGGCGATATGGCAAAAATATAATATCGTGAAACTTCAAGAAACCTTCACGATACACAATATTTGTTTTTTCAGACATCCGATCAGTTGGAACGTAAAGAAAAGAAGCAGTAGAGCTACATTAAAAAAAAAAAAATACTATCAAAAACTGAACACAATGACTTATTCAATTTTTAGCACTAAATCCAGTTAAACGGGACAAATTTTGCTCACTTTATATTGAAACATGCAGTTGGTCAATGTCTACAAGTACTGACGATAAACACGATATGGTCAGAAAAGCATACTGTATTATATTGCGGCATAATTTATCATAATAGATATATATATATATATATAGTCACATTGCCCAGCCCTAGTAATGTCATAGCTACTTACACACTGTTGCCTCTTTTGCCAATTAAGTGCTTTTATTTTGTTTTCTCAGGATGATCCTACACTGGAAAGGCACTTCAAGGGCCACAGAGACACTATAACCAGTGTTGACTTCAACTGTAACATGAAGCAAATAGGTGTGTTACAGTTACATGTATTTATTTATTTTTTGCAAGACTTTTTATTGTTTTTAACAAATGTGTGACCAAGTGCAACGTACAAACAACAAACAAGTAAGAAAAAATGATTAAATAAAATATGGATTACAGTTCAACTATGAAGGAAAATATTCTGTATAAATTTACTCTATATAAAAAGAAAAGAAATGGCCTGTATTAAGGAGGGATCAGATAGCCCTAAAGTTAGATGTCAATGGATGTGGTCAAGGTTCTGGCCTTTTAAGGTCCATCGAACACGTTCAAGAGTAGCATTGTGAAGTGTATCCTTATTATGTCCATGAATTGGACTTAAGATTAGAGACTGCTTCTGTACGGGGTTCCAAACAATGCTGTAACTGCATTAGATTTGCATTGCACATTCAAAACCAGTTTCATCCATTTTATCTTTATTAAACAGGTGACTACAGACACCTGAACTGAATGTTATCTCATTGGCTAATCAAAGTTTTCCTTAGAAAATCAACTCTGTTCCATGAGAGCTTCTGTTTAAGACTGAAAAATGGAAAAGTTTTACTTGTAATTACTTTGGTTTTTGATTTTATGTTAATTCTAGCCACTGGCTCCATGGACTCCTGCGTAATGATCTGGAATCTGAAGCCGCAAATGAGGGCCTACAGATTTGTGGGACATAAGGACGCGGTGACGTCCGTCCAGTTCTCCCCTTCTGGTCATCTGGTGGCCTCAGCGTCCAGAGACAAGACGGTCCGTCTGTGGGTACCCAGCGTGTAAGTCTCTGTCTCTGCGCCTCTTCATTTGATTTTGATTCAGGGTGCCATGATGCGATTTTAGAAGCGATTCTTGATGAATCTTCAGTTTTTGAGTCTTAGATTTCAGAAGTAATCTAAGTGTTTAATTGTGCGTCATCAGCGTAACTATAAAAATTGATATAGTGTTTAGTGTTTTGTGATGTAGGGCTGGGCAATATGAAACTTTTTATCGTTTTTCATGTCAGTAATCTGTTTAAATAAAAGTTAACTTAATTTTACTGGTGAATGTTTGTGCTGCATAGAATTTAAAACTCTTGAGTGTCTTGCAGAAACACCTTCATTGTTTTGTGACTGGCTTATCAGCGTTTCTGAAGCTGTATTTGTTTTTCTGTATTTGTTGGGTCTTCTTGGCCACCGTAATTTCCTTCACTGAAAAGAGAGATTTTAGTGTGACTGACGCCACAAACATGAAGTAGAAAAACAGAGTGGTCCACTTTTGTTTTAAATCTGTCCCTGATTGGTCCCAGAGCTGTTTATGATTTGAAATCCTGATCTTAACCTGCATTGGAGCATCTCAACTATATAATGGATGTGGCACAGATTATTTCATTTGTTGTTTTTTGAGAAGGCTTTCTTGCATCTTAAAAAGTGCTACTCTCTGACTTATTGTCAGTTAGGGCTGAGCCTACTACATTAAATATTGCCCGATTTTAAGCCCGATTTGTCCCTTGCAACAAAATTTTCACAACCTGAAGTGATTCTCTAGGTCAGGAGCTTGATCAGAAGCGACTGACAGTGCAGATGATCTGGTTATGTGAGAGGAGAAACAAGTGAATCTTTAGCCCTCCAATTGAAATCTGAAGCGATCAGAGACTCTTATATTTATGACTCAAAATGGCCACGAGTCCTGCAGTGTGAGAAGGTCAGAGATGAACTCAGTGAGTGATTCAAACAGCCAATCAGAGAGCTAGAAGAGTGGAGAGAAAGGAGAAGAGACGTGCATGAGCAGCGGAGACAGAGGAGCTGTGTGTAAAACACAGGCAGATAAGAGCCAATATCATGTTTATAATGTTGGATCCAGATGTCATGTCACTCTCTTTACAGTTTAAGCTTTATATTACTGATGAATTAGGGGTGGGTGGTAATAAAGAATTGCTCTCTTTGAAGGCATATGATTCCCTAAATGTAACAAACAGCGGTGAGGTTGCTTAACTTTACCTTCCTCTGCTGTCACTGCAGACTGGCAAGGTCACTTACAGAGCACCACTAGTAGCCTGTTAATGAAGTAATGTTCTTTTTATTTGAGAGCTGTTCCACTTGTAGGGAAGATTTCAACCACTACCACTTCCACAGTTCAGTTCCATGGGGCAACGTGACACTCAAAAACAAGGGGTAGGGGTAAAAACAAGAAGTGGTGTCGGGCTGTAAAATTACTGTGCAAACTGCACATGCACTTTAGAATTGTGACAGCAGAGGGCAGCATATATTCATTTTTGTGACAACATTATTGCTTCAGTCATTTCCTTACGTTACTTAATTCTGAAATTAGCATATTGTCAGAGAAGACTTGCTTGTATTTTGGTTTAGTTGACAAAAAAATTAATTGTTCCTGTCAGAATGCCATGTGTGCACTCTTAATAATCCATAGTTCATTTTTAAGTCTGTACTTCGGCTATAAAATTCTCCAAATAGGACAGAAGGGTGGGCAATTAACTAGGTTTCAATGGCGTAATTGGAAAAAGCACTTGGCAGAAATCTGTAAACAGTTTTGAACACTTGTTCACTGTCACTGTTAGAGAGAGAGCTCAGGTGCGCTCTGCTGCTCTCTGGTGTTTTGGTGAAAGGGAAAAGGCTTGAGTGTAATAAATGGCAGCGGGATAGGCTGTGAATAATTTAGCACATGGAATTGAGAGAGGACTTCCACAGACAGCCCCAGCGTGTGCTGAGCACATTAATGCAGAATCAGAATGTCTGATAATGATGATGAGCTCATTAACAGTCCTATGTTGCCAGGTGATTTCATGGCATCATAATCCACAAAATTCTTGGGATTCTCGTTAGATGTTACTCTCTAGCAGTGGCAATATTCGCACTTCTCGATTTGATTCCGATTCAGGGCGCCACAATGCGACTTTGAAAGCTATTCTTGATGAATCTCCAGTTTTTGAGTCCTAATTTTCAGAAGTCATGGAAATGTTTAACGGTGTGTCATCAGCATAGCTGCAAAAATTGGTGTGCTGTTTCTTGAGGTAGGACTGGGCAGTATGACAACATTTAGCGTTATCATGTTAAAGATGTCACAATATGCTTTTCCGCGCATATAGTAGATGTGGTTTGTACTTAAAGAACAATGAAAAACTGCAAAGAGAGCGCAAAAGGTCTTGTATAATTGAATTTAATGCAGTGTGTATGAAAGTTTTAATAGTTAAAATGTGGCGCTGTTGATTTTTGTTGTTTTTGTCAGGAAAAGTAAATATTGAAACATATGTATCGTAAAAAGGTCTTAAAATATCACAATATTATTGTTTTGCCACCACTGTCCTGATGACATCACCTGAAGGTAACATAGAAAGAGAAAAACAAAGGCCCTAAAACTGAACCTTGAGGGACAATGTTAAAGGTTTTAGTGAATGATTTTCCCAAAGGAATATAGTTTATCAAAAATATTAATAATAATAACTCTAATAGTAATGAGTAATGATACAATTAAAGTGAAACATAGCTTTACTGATTCTTGTAGAATATTTGAATATTTGAGACATTTGACATAATATTACAAATGAAAAGATCTGAAATCCAGTTGCAGCCCTAACTGTATTTTCACACCAGCAGTGTCTTTTTGGCCTCAAATCACTTGGTCACTCATCGCCTGTGGGTGTTTCTGAACTTGAGCTGACCACCGATTGCAATGGTTTTGCTGATGCCAAGCTAAAACCACAACAGAATGCCGTACTTTACTAGCTGGTGGCTACAGAACGCGTACAAAATCAGTTTGACCACAGATCAGATATCATCCTGCCCAGTTCCTACCACAAATCAGAGATGTTTCTGCTGAAAATAAATCTCCTGGACAGAGATCGCTTGACTGCAACTTTAATTCCTATGTAGTGCATCAGTGTCTGCACGGTCAGTATGAGAAGTAAACAGTGTTTAGTCTTCGCGATTGCTCCTGTCTGTTTTTGGCTAAAGCACCAGCACTGTTCTTCTCCTTCATCTGTAGTAGGAACAAATATCTAGGAACCAGAAACGATACAGGCGTAACGATTCTACAAATCCACGGTTCGGTTCAGACCTCAATTTTTGAGCCACAGTTTGAGACCGTGGAGGTTTGTATTGCGGTTTTGGTCATTATTCATCATTATACTCATAGTGATGAGAACGTATGTACTACCCGGCTCTATTCCCATTGGCGATCACTACATCATTTCGCTCTTTCTTTGCATAAAATTAAACTTTGCTCAACTTTGTCAAGCTGCCAACATTGGGTGTGTTTACATGCATTTAACAATCTGATCATAATCAGATTTCTGCAGTTATCTGTTTATTAAGTGGTCATGCAAACACACACTCTGATTTCTTAGATCAGATTAAGGTCTATAAATCTGATTAAGAAATCTGATGAAGAGGCTGGATTTGAGCTCAGTAATGTTTTTTTTTCTTTTTTCAGTGCATGTAAACCTTCACTCTGATTTCTTTCATTTCTCTCAGTCTGCGCATGTGTGAAAACAGTGCTGTCCCGGAAACACAAGCAGCATTTAACACAGCACCTGTGAGACGCAGCACAACACTTATGGAGTGATGCAGAAACCGACTACATACTTGAGGAAATGAAGGATTTCAATATTCTTCATCCTCTAGATGATGTTTATTCATGTTTTCGACTAAAGTGACTCAATGTTTAGGCTCATGACGTTTGAGTTTTACGTTACGTTTACATCACATCTTATTCTGTTACTTTATTGGCTGGTTGTAAAGCAGAAATCTGATTACTGCCTGACTCATGTAGACCTGGAGTTTCCCCATTATCTGATTACCCAAGAGCATGAAAACACGCTGAACCAGTTACTGACACAATCTGATTTGCCTCAGTTATCAGATTATTAAGTGTAAACACACTGAACCAGTTACTGGTTGTTTTTCTGCAGTTATCAGATTATCAAGTGCATGTAAATGCACTGATTTGTAGTCAGTGATCGCCAGCTCTCATTGAGAGTGAGTGAATTCCAGCTGCCGGTGTGAACGCATGGTAAATAATCTATACATCTGTCGATACAGATGTGATGCCGATATCGTGTGTCCATAGATAAAATCAGAGTTGTATTGATAGCTGAAAGTTCCAGATGCACCAGTTTAAGGAAGGCTACTCCGCTCTCCCACCTTCCATCTCAGAGTGACTAACGTTCACACAGCTCTGTGTCCTCAATAGGAAAGGCGCGAGTGTGGGAGTTTAAGATGGTACATAAATAACTTACTCTTTAGAAACCACATAATCCTGTTTCTGGAGAGCTCTGAGTGAGAGGCTGTGAGCTGTTCTGTCTGTAGTTCAACCCTGATACGATACGTTTGTTCTCATGTAGCCTTGGTCTTGTTCTGATAAAGAACTTGGAAAAAGAAACACTTCAGCTCTAAATATAAGTTACTTATTGATTAAGGTGGTGATGAAAGTTCTGACCGAAAACCAAAAACTTTTTTATGTAACCGAAAACCTTTTGAATAAACATAAAAAGTACAAGATAATTAAGAACATTCACTTTTATTATTTATTATATTTGCGTTCAGTTGGACAAAACTGAGCTGACAATACAAAAACAGACTATGTAAAGTAACCATACTAAAATTATTACAGTGTGTCGCTGCAGAATGAGTCCCAAAATCCAGCATCCTCAACAGAACAACAGAGAGCGGCTGATCATCCATAACAAAGAACTCCATTATTTTGGCAGTTTTCCCTCTAATAAGCACTGTTAGGAACAGTGGCAATTACAAAAAAAAAACATATTTTTGGAAAATAGAAAATAAAAAATAAATAAGTTGTGATAGCATTAAAAAAAACAACTTTAAAGCACTCTCTTTAAAAACAATTAAAAAGTCTTTTATTGTAATGGCATTGTCATATTAAACCTTTAAAAACTCTGATGCATTATAGCAACAAGCCTTCGTCAAGGAGTCAAAATTATGTTTATTCTTCTTCAATCCAAAGAGCACTGCAAACAGACGACACTATTAAAAATGATGGTTCTTCAAGGGTTCTTTGGTAAAAAAAAATGGTTTTATATAGAACCATGAGCACTCAAGTTTTTTTCATTGTGAAATGGGTTCTATATAGCACAATAAGGGGTCTTCTGTTGTTACGTTGACAATATTGTAACAATAGAAGAACGCTTTTTGGTGCTATATAGAACCATATACAACACATTCTCCATCAATCTGAAAAACCATTTCACCATGCAGAGAACCATTTAATTGTGCAAAAGGTTCTTTGAGTGTTCATGGTTTTATATAGAAGCATTTTCTTTACTAAAGAACCCTTGAAGAACTTTTTTTTTTAACTGTGTAGATTTGAATCCAGAAAGCATTCCTATTCAAAAAAATGTTTGATTTATGATAGCATTTCTTTTCTGAATCTGTATTGAAAATGTGTCATGTGTTGATGCAAAATCGACAGTGTGTGTCGTTATACCAATACTTTTAGGTCATCTCTCTGTTTTAGAGGTCATTATACTTGCAAATGCATTGACTGCTACTCAAAATTAGTTTTATGATTGCTGACTGATGCTTCTTTGAATGGTTCTTTGAATAATACTCAGTGACAATGTCAGTAAAGGCTCCATCATAGTAACATACTTCTGTCATCTTCTTTATTCATGCAGCGCAACAGTGCACATGTCTGTATCATTCACATGCAAATAAATGAGTTGTTGAATAGTGTTCCTGTGTGTACTAGACATCTACTATACATCATGTTTACATCTAAGCAGAATGCATTTCAGTGAACATACAGGAATATGATGCCTTTTATACCAGGTCCAGAACAGACTAATAATGTTATAGCTTTTTTTGGTTAAAGCAATAAGCCATGAGAGGCCATGCGTTACTCTGATTTTACCACAGGGGAAGGGTGTTCTTAGGCAAAGAACAAAGTGGAGTAAAATCTTTTTCCCTGTGATCACTGTAATATGTGACCTCAAGTGGCTTATTGCTTTTATAAAACGGCAGCTAACAGAAAATATGATAAATACTTTTTTCAGAAAATAATTTATTATTAATAATAATCAACCCCATGACCCAGAAGGATAAGCGGCTTAGAAATGTGTGTGTATGTGTGTGTGTGTGTGTGTGTACGTGTGTAATAGTAATCGACATAAACAAGTATTCCACCAAGAAATGTAAATCCGTTAGTGTGTGGTATCGTTGCCATGCAACCATTGACCGCTGAATAAGGAGAAGAACGTTCAGTCATCCATCACGGTATGCTGCGGTCATTTCATTAACTTCTGTAACTTAAATAACTTATATAACTTTTTGTTGTATAATAATGAACATATGATAACGCAGCACTGTTTAATGCAGAATGGTTTCCTGCTCCCTACATAGTGCACTACACAGAAATACTGGATCCTGCAGCCTAACAGTGCATAATACAGATAAGAAGTAGTCATTGAAATAGTCAGACACATCCATACTTGACAAATAGTTCACTATTTGGCTGTAGAAGCTAGAATTTCACAACCTCCAAAGCTAGCGCACTATTTAGGGAGTACGGAGCCGTTTGAGACTCAGTCTGGGTTTGGTGCTACTTCTGTCTGAAACACGGACATCTGAAGTATTTAAGACATTAAGTGGACATTCTTTAGTCTTTTATACTGCCGTTTTACAGTGAATCATATTGTAAGTACTTCAAGCATGTGATATTAATGATGAAGTTATTTCCCATTACGTGCCACCACGATTACTCAGATCACAGAGTGCTGGCTTTTTAATAGTTCCCAGAATTCAGAAGGTTTCATCTGGGGGAAGAGCCTTTTCTTATAAAGCCCCCAAACTCTGGAATGATCTTCCAGAAAATGTTCAGGACTCGGACTCAGTCGCAATATTCAAATCTAGGCTGAAAACTCACTTGTTTAGTTTAGCTTTTGGTAGCTAATGTTTCCCCTTGGATAAAGGCAGCAGAACCAGGGGTCCGTGGACGCAGGGAATTATAGTAAACTGAGACTGGTCCTGTCGTCCCGCCGCTCACACGCGAACACTCAGGTTTGTGGACGGTGGAGCAGAGGGATGACAAATTGTTTCAGGGTGCTCCCGTGTCTGTGTGCCCTTTTGGTTCGCTCCTTTTAGTTAAGCTGTTATAGTCAGATCTGCCGGAGTCATTAGCCACACTCTGGAAATGTTTTACATACTACTATACATACACCCATACAGAACTAAACTAACTCCATTTCCCTACCTATCTTCCGAGAAAACGACTGCCCACCTGTCCGGCCGGACACTGCTGGATGATTGTTTGTAGAGCTCTCCGGCTACCCGCTTCAGACCAGTTACCCACAACCCAGTCACCGCCACCTGCCTTGGACTGGCTGCCCACTCTACACTGAAGTCTCCTAACTATTACTACCTCCTAACTATTACTACTACTACTACTACTATTAATATTAGTAGAATAATAATTTTGTACGTAGTTTGACCAGAGGAGGATGGGTCCCCCCATGTGAGCCTTGGTTCCTCCCAAGGTTTCTTCCTCAGCTCTGAGGGAGTTTTTCCTTGCCACTGTCGCCCCTGGCTTGCTCACCTGGAGGATTTACATTTCATGTTGAAACTTTGTTCTAAACGGATTTCTGTGAAGCTGCTTTGTGACAACATCAGTTGTAAAAAGCGCTATACAAATAAATTTGAATTTGAATTTGAAGTTGTTTAGCATGTTTGCTATCTTTTAGCCTGTTAGCTAGCTGACCAGTCTAGGTCTAGTTAAGAAGATAAGCTGTCAGCCCCTCATTTTAAACAGAACCAGATTCTTACTTCATCTGTACACTCGGTGCTCCATCTGGGCAGCATGAGGAGCAAAGATTGTTCCATTAACGGCACAAGGGTTTTTCGTGACATGCTGCGGTGATGCAGAGTACAGTCGCTGTGATGTGGTCATAGGTGTGTATATTGTGCATTTCACAACGGCTTTGAACGCGGCTCAGCCAATCAGATTTTAGGACCGGGACTATCCGTTTTATAATGCCTATTTTGTAGTAGTGGGAATCACTGCAGGCCCCACAATGCAATATCATCACGATGCTTAACCCACAATTTTATTCTATTGCAATATTAATAGAGTTTAAAGAGTTGTAGTGAATGAACTTCACACTTTATTCCTCTCGCTTCAGTGTTTTCTACTGGAGCAAAACAGAACTTTGAAGTAGACAAATCAGCATTCAAAAACTACTTTATATATTTAGCTGGTGCTTTTATCTGTGCAGTAGACCAACAATGTTTAAGTTTACATTGGCAGGTCAATGGTGCATTGCAGCAAAACTAAGTGACCGGTATTTCTTAACAGTGGTGGTGATAGGAACCAGGGGTCACCATGACTACAACTGAAATATAGACATTTTATTTACTATCCAAAACCACCAGAGAACCTACACGTGTCTTCTGAGATTTATATGGTATGTTGATGACAGGAAAATAGTAAATGGGGTAAGTTTCTCTAGAACGGACCATTTCACACCAAACGACTCTAAATGACTCTGTTGATATCTTAACCAGTTAATTATGCAGGATTTTTTTTAATTGGTGGATTTCGAATCAGTACATGTTAAACATGTAATAATTAAATACTGAAATATTGATTCTTGGGATTTATGTATCAGTGCTCTTTTTAAACAGTGTTACAGCATATTGAATTGAAATTTCATGCGAACGTAATTTTTCGTTTCTTTTGTCCTTTTAAACCAGTCTCTTGTAATTCTGTGTTTCAGGAAAGGTGAATCCACAGTGTTCAGAGCTCACACTGGAACTGTCCGCAGCGTCAACTTCTCCAGCGACGGACAGTCATTAGTGACCGCCTCCGATGATAAAACCATCAAAGTGTGGACTGTCCATCGACAGAAGTTTCTCTTCTCCCTCAGTCAGCACATCAACTGGGTCCGATGTGCAAAGTGTGTAAAGCAAAATCTTTTTTCTTTTTCAGCACTAGCACAACACACAGTGGTGATCAGAAATCATAATTTCTCTTTTTATGTATTACTTCATATATTATTTTTTTAACAGAAAAAATAATAGTAGTGGGAAAAAATACCTGGTTTAGAATTCACAGCTGAGTAACCCTTAGTCAAAAAGGAAATGAAAATTGAAAAGTACAGGAGCAGTAGAGCACTGAACTGGAACCTAAACTCTCTAAAATTATGAGGTACATAAAAAATAAAAAGATTTGGCACATTGTATATTTTATGTTTTTCCAGTATGTTAAACTTGTCAAATGATATAAACTGTGCACTTAAATTTGTATATGTGTTATTTTAATTTCACTTCAACAAAACGTCATTTGAACTGACCAGACTGACCGTCCCCAACTTTTGGATAGACAGATGAACCTGTTTACACCTTGCAGCCTCTACAGACAGCTCTCTCTACAGAGAGTTTCAAATAAAGCTGTTTAATTTAAAATAACACGAGTACTGAGCAAAGAGAAACTGAGCAGTGCTGCTGACACTGAGCGCTGAAGCTAAAAGCAGGCGGTAATGTTCATGGTAGGACAGTACGTTGTCTCTACAGCCTGTTTTACCAAGAAAATCACAGTATTAACTTTTATATCTCACTATTCTACCCGGTAACAGACTAAAGGTGGCATGTACAGACTTTGATAGCAAATGTCAACTTTTGCCTTCAGGGAATCTGTCGAAGCAGAATGTTTAAAGTGACCGACTGCTTTGTGGCCGATTGTGACGGAATTAGTAACTCTTCTCTGTGTGAGCAGATCCTCCTTCACTGTGTTTGTTCATTAGTGCATTAGGCCTACGTCACAGCCGGCATCAAAAAGTTTGGTATCTGTACATTTTTATAGGTACAAGTAAGTGAGTACAACATTGACCCGATACCAGTATCGGTATTGATGCATCCCTAATATAAATAATACTGAATAAAAAGTAAAATACTCTTTAGAGCAGGGTTTCCCAACCTGTGGGCTGCGGACCACCAGTGGACCATGAAGCACCCTCTAGAGGTCCGCGGGCCTGTGCTCAGAGGGAGGCAGTATAATATAATAAAATAGTGGGCCGGCAATGTCACTGTCAAGTCAAAAAACAAAAGTGGGAAAAAGATGAACTTAATAATTAAAAATCTGTAAATGAAACGTTTGCACAGTATAACCAATATAAATATTAATAGAGACATACATATAAAAACGTTGCAGTAGTTTTAACGATTGATTCTTTAAACTACAGACTCTCAGCATGAGCTGCTGTTAAAAACGATAGACATGAAATAATAGCGAAAAGTTGCGTTTGATTTTTAACTCATGGATCATGGAGCGTGTATTTGGCCGAGCATCAGTGACCTGAGTGGTTAACCTCAAACTGGTTAACCAATGACAAAGAAGTAGATATCAAGTAAGATTTATCATTATTATTAATTGTGACAATGCTAATTCAAAATCCTGTTGAGTGGAGTGAGGTTTATTTTAAATTAATCACAAAAACACTCAAAACTAAAGAAACATATTAAGACCAAACAGTTACTAGTAGTTAACAGTTAACAGTAGTATTTTCAGTGAAAACGCAATGGACTTCAGCTCCAAATCATTCCACATCTACATCATACATTTCTATTCTTTTTTTCTTTTCCCATTTTTTGTCACTTTTTGTCATCACTACAACCATTGTTTTTTTTTTAAAACTCGTTTTATGTTTTTTAACATACTTGCAAATTTTGCAAACCTACTGACAACTGGAATGGATGATCTGATCTTTTTCAGGCCTTAATTTTCAGGTTTTCAGTGTCAGCATTTAAGAAAAGAAAAATAAAGCTGCATTTAAAAACGATGATTTTAGTTTTTGTGGGCCACTATGCTTTGTAGTTATGCACAGGTGGGCCTTGGGGAGGAAAAGATTGAGAACCCCTGCTTTAGAGCACACATTTGTCATGTACTGGATGTTATAAATATCCCACTCACTCATCAGTCATGCATATACGCCAGAGCTGCTATCCAGAAATCTGGCACTGTCTTTAGATTAAACTCCGTATTCTGAGATCAGTTTCAATGAGGTTCTCTTATTCAGCAGTTGGTGAGTGGATTGCAGAGCTGCAGCGCTGTTCGTGTCATCCGTATCGGGGAAGTATCTGTAATTTCACGGCTGGAATGAAGTTAAGGATAAATTAAGTGTAAAATTTTTTACATACCCCCATCGTCATCAGTTAGGGAACCACTGCACTAACACATTCCCAGAAAATGTAACCTGATTTTCCGAGATGCTTGTCCTTATAAAACATCATTCTGCCTGAGTTATACAGAATGTTTAGATTTTCTGTTGAGTATATTTGGTTCCTGACCTCTGATTACTTACAGGTTTTCGCCAGATGGCCGATTAATTGTATCTGCAAGTGACGACAGAACGGTGAAGATCTGGGACAAGAACAGCAGAGAATGCATTTACTCATTCTGTGAACATGGCGGGTAGGGGATCTACAGTTCTGTACTGAACATGACGAACGTTTCCAGTACTTTAATACCTTTTCATTTCATGAACACTGTAGTGTACAGTTAGACACTAAAGTGCCTCTGTTGTCAAGCAAATTTTATGTTGGCCGTCTTCTTATCCTTTATCGCTGGTCAGTTTAGGGATAGACTTCACCCGTTTCTGTCTCACCATCAAGACTATAGGCTAATTTAGGGCTGGGAGGTGATTTAGGCTTCCTACAATTATGAAAACAGAATGATCGAGACAAAATGATTCCTTCAGTGATTCAGCTTCGCAGTGATGCTCTCAATTTGTCTTAAATTCAGTTCACCCCTTTCCTTTACGGCATGCTTTCGCCCCTCCCTAAAAGTCCAAACTCATCTCATTTGCTTTGGTCTAAGTTAGAAGTGCACTACAACATAGTTGATCTTATTTATTTTAATTATTGTTTTTATATTATTTATATTTATATGACTGCTGTCAGAAAACAAAACCTTGGAGCGCCAAAATGATGACTTTACAGTAGAAGGAAAAAACAAACTTTTAATGTAAGCCGATGTAACTAGATGTTTGTCCACGTAATTTCTTTCTGTTTTTTTTCCTCCATTCATCATGAAATTTTCACACAAAAAATGACAAAATATGTATATGTATATATTCATTTCACCTTAAATGGTGCAGCAGTTACATTCTGGTGCCTAACGCTAGCGCAGCTGTTGAAATAACCGGTGTCTGTGCAGTCAGCAAAGCTAACAGAACAAAACAGTCCTCCCTCTTCACAGATGGAGTAATACTTCTGCGATAAAAAGGGCTGTAAGGAATGATGGTACAGGATTCCTCTTGAACGTTGTACAGGTCTGATCTGCAGCTTCAGAAGCACTTGCTTGAGGTTATTGCTGCCCAAGGACGTTCGACCAGCTGTTAAATCCAAGGGTTCACTTACTTTTTCCACCAGCACTGTGAATGTTTTAGGTAGTATGCACATTAAAGACATGAAATATTATAGTTGTTTGTGTGTTATTAGCTATAGCACATTGTGTCTATATTTGTTACTTTAAGGACAGGTTACGTTTTTTGGCCATTTTAGGAAGAAAACTTTATTGTTCCAAAGGGTTCATTCTTTTTCTTGCCATTGTAGAAGTAGGTGGACAACTGAGTGTAAATAAAAGCTGTGTGTCTTTAATAAAGTGGATTGGAGCTGTTTTCATTTACAAAAACATCTGATTGTTGTCATTTTCAGATATGTGAATTATGCTGACTTCCACCCCAGTGGTACCTGCATAGCAGCTGGTAGTACAGACAATACCGTCAAAGTGTGGGATATCCGCACCAACAAACTTCTACAGCATTACCAAGGTGAGTCTGAATGGAGCTTTACCATACCTTTTTCCATCAGGGCGCTCGTGATAGAGTTGATAGGAAAGTAGGAGATGGAGGTTTTGAAGGGCTGGCAGAGAGGCCATGCAATACTGATTACCGTCAATATAACAGCCATTTCCAAATGTTTCATGGTTTCTTAGGATATAAAAGTTATCATTACTTTTGTTAATACGCTTATGTTGATAATGTTAATGAGCCCCCCTTTTAATTAAGTTAATAAGTTAACACTTAGCTAAAACTGACTACAAGTAAAGTGCTGTTTTATTGGTTATATTTTTATATATATTGTTTATTATCTGTCAAACACATTTCTAAATATATTACTGAAATTGACAAGCAAATTTACATTGTGTCAGTGTTTATAGTGTACCAGTATTGATGATGTATCGCCTGGCACTGATGAGCAGGAATCTAAAATGCCAGTAAGCGACTTTTCATGCTATATTTGTATTCATTCGATCTGTTTAATTTCATAGATTTCTCATGAAATCCGTTTCTGAGAGGAGTAGAAGGCTTTGTGTTTTGTGAAGCATCAGTAAATTCATCCGTGTATTGCAAAGGTATCATTAGTGAATTTCAGTGCAAAATGTCAAACATCCAAACCCATTGACTGACCTTACATTACCGAGGCCTCTGCTCACAGTGTTATTGCTTAGAAAGCCATTAAGCACTGCGATCAATATGATACCAAGTTGCATTCATGCCCGAATTGATATAAATGGATTAGAAATTTGAGTTGGGGGATCGAACATAAGGCCGCTTATGCAGTGTCATCAGCTTGGCATGTGTCCAAATCATGACCATTGAAAAGGTGAGGAACAAAGGGTTCTGTTAGGAGGATTGATCGGAGCAATCGGACAAAAGGCAGCCAGCCTGACTCATGCTTAGACTCTAGTGGCTGTAATTACCCTTCCAGCCGTACGGTGAGCGCACAGCTTTTGTCTTCTCTGGCTACCTGTGCAGCTCAGCGCATCAAGAACTCATACAAATAATGATCAAAGCGTCAGCCGTTTCTGGAAAGTAGTTAACATTTTAGTTCTGTCACTTGCCCTTCTGTGCTGCAGTAAAGAACAGCTAAAGTAACAGACAGTCTGATCTTTTGACAACTCAAGGGTTCACTTTTTCTTCCTACTGACTGCTTGGCATTTTAAAATTTCACTGAAAGTGGAGTGTGCGTCTTTAAAGAACTCCTGAAATCAGAATTTGAGGCCCCGAAATGAATCAGGAACATGCCTAAACATCTACGCTCTTTTTGAATATGAAGATCTATGAATGTGCTTGATTATGCAAATTGCAAATGCCTCCCTGCTGTTTCTGAGCCCACTGTAACTTTAATCATTAGAAATATTCTGCTTTTCTTTTGCTCAGTTTCACTAAGATTTGAGTCTTTATCCTCTAAACTTGCCTCAGTGCAGCGCTAGCGCGCCAGAACTGCTGCTGGTTTAGTCTTCTTGCTAAACTAGCGTTAGCTTCCAGTTCTAACGAGCTTATTAAAGCAAAAGCAGCTTATGCTAACAGCTCCACACACAAAAACGCAGACTTAATGTTACTCGCTCAGATTTGAGACTTTATTCTCTAAACCCGTCTCATTGCAGCATCAGTGAACCAGAACTGCTGTTGGTTTAGCCTTCTCGCTGTGCTAATGCTAGCTTTCAGTGCTAACGAGGACACTGAAGCACAAGTAGCTTAAACTAATGGCTTCATACCCAAAAACGCAGATTTACTCGCTCAGATTTGAGTCTTTATTCTCTACACATGCTTCAGTGTAGCATCAATGTAGAACCGCTGGTTTAGCTTTCACTAAGCTTACGTTAGCCTCTGATGCTAATGAGGACCTAAATTAAAAATAGCTGATGCCAACAGCTCCACACAAACACTAATTTACTCGCTCAGATTTGAGTCTTTCTTTAAATTTGTGTCAGTGCAGCATCAGTTAGCCAGAACCGCTGGTCTTTAGGCTTTCTCGCTAAGCTAACACTAGCTTTCAGTGCTAACAGGGATGTTGAAGCAACAGTAGCTTCAACTAACAACTCAACACCAAAAACACAGATTTACTTGCTCAGGTTTGAGTCTTTGTTCTCTTAGCTCGCCTCAGTGTAGTGTCAGTAAACCAGAACTGCTGGTGTTTTAGCCTTCTTACTAAGCTAACTCTAGCTTCCAGTTCTAACAAAAGATACTGAAGCAAACATAGCCTAAGCTACCAGCTCCACACACAGAATCGTAGATTTACTTGCTTAGATTTGAGTCTTTATTCTCTAAACATGCCCCAGTACAGCATCAGTGAGCCAGAACTGCTGCTGGTTTAGCCTTCTTGCTTTGCTAATGCTAGCTTCCCGTGCTAGGACATTGAAGCACAAGTAAACATGCCTCAGTGTAGCATCAATGTAGAACTGCTGGTTTAGCTTTCACAAAGCTTATATTAGCCTCTGATGTTAATGGCTTGACCCGCTGGTCATTTGGCCTTCTCGTTAAGCTAGCACTAGCTTCCAGTGCTAACGGAGACATTGAAGCAATAGTAGCTTAAACTAACTTAACATCTTAACACACAAAAACACAGATTTACTTGTTCACTTTTGAGACTTTATTCTCTAAAATTGCATCATTAAAGCCTCAGTGAGTTGAATGATTATGTGCTGTGGTGGTGAAGCTGTAGCATGCTAAGCTACTGCAGTAGAATCTTACCTGCTACTAGAACAGCTCTACAACATATTAACAGTTCATTAGATAAATGTGGAATATAATGTAATTATAAATACTAACATAATCTGTTTACTTACTGCGCAGTTTAAGGTTATGTTAGCTCAGGCATGTTATGTAGCTGTAAGTTTACAGATGCTACGTTGTAAACCTCTTATTAGCATATTTTAGTTAATGGTTTCAAACTCATCTGAGAATGTACAAGACTAAATTGCTGCTCAGCGCCCACTAATCACAGAAACTCTCTGTTTTAGGGGGGAAATGTGAAGCGCTATAACAACACGTTTAATACAAGTATCAGTCTGTATAACTATAGTAACCCAAATAATCAAAGTTAACCATTAAAAAACACATATTTGAGTGGTCTTCAAATAATAAACAAATGTTCGAAAAGCATTTACAGAACTTTAATGTTTGTATGTCACTTAGCAATTCAAATTGTAGCACTTATTGATCAACAAGGAACAATTACATAATTATTAACTAGCATTAACAAATCACTAGATAAAGAATATGTTGCTATTTGTAGAGGTCTGTCATTATTATAAGTTTTACCAGGAAGTAGGTTGACATGAATAAGTTATCATTAGTAAAGGGTTCTGTTGTCCTATTTTCTTCTCTTTAAATTACACCAAAGATAATCTTATGTAGTATTGTGTCATAAGAAAAAATACATTTTTTGCAATGTATGAAAATGGCAAAAAATCTGTTTCTTAAATATATCTTTGAAAAAAGCATTGATTCATTTTTGTTATTATATTTGTTAAGTTGTGTGTAGTTTAATAAAGGTTACAGATGTAACTAAACTGTTCTGACTTCTGTGATCTGCATTGTACTTTACATTAACCATGTACGTATGCAGTAAGACACTCACACACAATGTATTTCAAATAAATAAGATATCAAATCATAACTGCATTTTCATAACATAACTGAGTATCAATACTTACAACACTTGCTTTTGTCATATTAAAGGTTCATTTGCTAATACTTAAAATTAAGTTACTGGAATACAAATTCATTTCAAACAGTGAAGTGCATTAGACAGGATTTTGACTGTTTTCATACATTTTCAAATGGATTTAATAAACACCTTTACATACATTTATTTTTGTCTATGTGTAATATTGCCCCTTACATTTTAAAAACAGTGTATTTTAAAATATATTTGGTTAATATGGCAAAATATTCTGAAATACATTTTAGTGTTTGGAATGTATTTCAGCATGGACTGTACTGTATTTGAAATGAATTTCAAATGTATAAAAATACATGTCCATATGTACACACACACACACACACACATATATATATATATATATATATATATATATATATATATATATATATATATTTATTTATTTATTTTTTTTTTTTTTTTTCTTTTTTTTTTAGCTCCCAGTAAATACCACTCACTGTAGTTAAGTAGAGAACACAGAACAGAATTAAAAACTAAAAATAAAACACTTGGCAACAGGAACACTGCTGTTTTATGGATATAATATATTGCCGAACTGAAAAGCAGTGCCACAGTGTGTCTGTCAGGCAGTCAGCACTAATACATTGTTGTTTCTGTGTGGAGAACCTTGAGTGCTGTATGGGGTAGTTCATGTTTTTGGTGTGACCTTTGCAGTGCACAGCGCGGTGGTGAACTCGCTCTCCTTCCATCCTTCTGGGAACTACCTCATAACAGCCTCCAACGACTCCACGCTGAAGATCCTGGACCTGGTGGAGGGCAGGCTTCTCTACACGCTGCACGGCCATCAGGTATGTCCATCAGACCCCACCCTCTAAACCACAGGGCACACACAGGACCAGGGGCCGTATTACAGAAACTTTCTTTTGTCTTAACTTAAGATCTGACAGGTCAAGATAAGATTTTTCACAATTTCATATTACAGAAGCAAATCTGATCTTAATTTAGGAATCTTGTCTTATCTTACAGCATCTTATCTTATTTCAAGTTAAGAAATCTTAACTTACTCGATCAAAGTCGACAATCAACTGCCATATCTCTTACCTAGCAACTGACCATATGTGCAAACCATGTGTATCAAAGTAATCAAGCTAGTTAGCCGGGCAGCTACCATTACTGATGTACAAGAAAAGTGCTGAAGTGCTGGAATTAGAAAAAGATTGAGTTAGAATAAGATTTAAAGAGTTAGAATAAGATTATGAAGTTAGGAACAGTTGTTCTGAATAGCTTCTGTCCTAAATTCAGTCCTAACTAAAGTTGTCATTGTGACTAAGATAAGATTTCAGACTTAAGAAGTTTCTGTATTACAGCCGCAGGATCATATCTCAGGAATAAAAGCTGAATAAAAATCAACAGTCTTTTGCTTTGTTTGATATATAGCAAATAACTTTTGTCAGCAGCATTGAGAGTAAAGAGCAGTGAGTCAGCTTTAAATGTTTAAAAGGGAAATTTCCTAAATCAAAATTTGTGTGTATTTAAGGGTGAGATGTAAACAGAGTGATTTAGAGTGATTTGGTGTGAAATGGTTCAGATTTCTTTACAGTGGTGGTGATGGGAACCAGGGGTCGCCATGAATACAACACAAATATAGACATTTTATTTACTATCCAAAACCACCAGTGAACCTACAGGTGTCTTCTGAGCTTTTATGTGGAATGTTGATTATGGGAAAATAGTGGAAAATCTGAAATAATAAGTTTTCTTTGGGGACTATTTTGCCTCTGCATGTATCTCTTCACCATGAATGGATTTTAATTTCTCAAAACTATCATTCAGCAATATCTCAGACATCAGGCAGTGTATTCATAACCATTTCATGTAATAACTTTCTGTGAGGGAGCTTTTAGAGGTGGACATCTGGTTCGTATCACCACCACTGTGAACAGTTATGACTCAGTAAGTTTCTCTAGAATGGAGCGTTTCACACCAAGCCATTTTTTTGACCAACGTAAAGTATGACCATATCACTGAGTGTAAAACTCATCCTGGAAATGATCCATTCAAACCTCTGTGTGATCTCTGTCATGTGACTAGGCAAAGAAAAACTTTAAATTTTACTCATCATTGCTCTTTTTGGAGCATGCGGAAATGAGCCCTCTCCTAAGTGTGTTTTAAAAATGTCAAGGAAACGGCCCACCCACTTCCAGTGAGTCATGAGTATTGGGAACCTTCAGACTCCAGAGTGCCGCTGGATCGTGTGTGTGTTTGTGCGCTGGAGCAGAACGTAATGATAGCCCACTGGCATTGCTCACACTACTGACCCTGTCTGTGCGGGCGAAGTACTACTGTACAGTACATTAGCTGCTTCTTTAAACCCAGCACACAGTGTGTTTTAAAGGGCAATTCCACAGATTTTTCAAAATTTCTGCACAGTTCATGCATTTAGGTGTATAAACTATATAATGGATGCAGCACAGATTATTTAATTTATTGGTTTTTTAGAAGGCTTTAGTGCATCAGCAAAAGTGCTACTCTCTGACCAATTTCTCTATATAGGAGTGGGTGATATGGCAAAAATATTGTATCACAATACTTAAAGACTATTTTTATGATACACAACATGTATTGTGATATTTAGTTTTTCTGAGATTTAAAAAATTGGAACACACAAAATAGAGCCTGTATTATATAAAGACTGTTATAGAAGTATTAATAATAATAATAATAAAAATGTTAATAACGATAATAGAACTTTGCTTATAAGCATGTTTCATGGAACTCAGGTTCCTGCACAATTAAATGCTTAAGATGTAAACAGAGTTGTTCAGAGTGGTTTGGTGTGAAACGCTCTGTTCCAGAGAAACTTACTGAGTCAGAATTGTTTACAGTGGTGGTGATAGGAACCAGACGTCCACCTCTAAAAGCTCCCTCACAGAAAGTTATTACATGACATGGTTATGGAAAACTGTCTGATGTTTGAGACATTGTGTTATGATAGCTTTAAGAACTTTTTTGATCTAAAAGGTATTTTAACATTCCATTCAAAGTGAAGGGATAGATGCTGAGGCAAAATAGTCCCCAAAGAAAACGTATTATTTCAGATTTTCCACTATTTTCCCATAATCAACGTTCCAAAAGAAACTTCGAAGACATGTATAGGTTCACTGGTGGTTTTGGATAGTAAATAAAATGTCTGTATTCATGTGGTAATTATGGCGATCACTGGTTACTATCACCACCACTGTAAAGAAATCTGAATCATTTCACACTAAACCACTCTGAATCACTCTGTTTACACCTCACACACTCAATTATGGAGGAATTTTGAAAAATTGCTTTTATTTTAAAGTCATGTTACTGTTACTATTATGATAAAATACTGTCAGAATGATAAATAAATACATATATATAATAAATATAATATAATAAATACTTTGTCAGAATAAACTGTTGAATTACAGTACAGTTGATAACAACTATATGGGCAATATGACAATATATATCATTATTGTGATAAATGGTGTCGCAATACAATAGAATATGCTTTTCTTAACATACGGTGTATATCATCAGTACTTGTAGAAACTGTCCAACTGCATGTTTCATTATAAAGAGAGAAAAAATTACTGGATTTAGTGCCGAATACTGAATAAAAACAATGTGTTCACTGATTTCTTTCATTTTATTTTTTTAAACATAGCTCTGCTGGGGTTTTTTTTTCTCTGTTCCAACTGATCAGGTATCCAAAAAAATAAATATCGTGACACATTGTGTGTCGTTAAAATTTCTGCAAGTGTCACAATATCATATTTTCGCCATATTGCCCACCTAATCCCAGCAATATCAGTAATATTAGTAATCTCAGTACATTTATAAAGTGTAAAACTCCCAAGAGCTCTTTTTTTATTAAATGCCTAGAATTATGTAAGAAGTGCAAAAACACTGTTGATTTTAATAAAGTTTCCCAACATGATAGTCATGATGTTTCGTTTTTTAAGAGTCAGTGCTTTTCTCTGAGCTTAAGCTGCTTTTCCACTGCATGGTACCAGCTCAACTCTACTCGCCTTTTTTGGTTCTCCATTTGGCAAACCTGGTACCTAGTGCTATTTTTGGTATCACCTCTGTCGAGGTTCCAAGCTGCTACCAAAAGGCGACATGGAAAAACTGCAGACTGCTGATTGGTGGGAAAGAATCATCACTATCACCCTAAACACATATGCAAATGTTAAAGCTGCCAGGTTACCATATCCTCCTCTGTCGCCTTTGAGCAGCCAGAACGGTCTTATCGCATGAATTCTCATGTAGTTTGTCCCAAGCTTTTCTGTTTCTCGCTGTCATCAGCCTCTTCTGAACAACATTTATCTCCTTCACATCACTACAGCTTCGTGTAGCGTGACTATGATGAGCAGCTACATTGAAGAGGCTCCATAGTGAAAAACAACATAGCTGGTACCAAAAGGGAGTAGGGGAGAGTATACACTAAAAAATCATGGTTCTTCAAGGGTTCTTTAGTTTAAGAAAATGGTTCCATATAGAACTGTGATCACACAAAGAACCCTTTGCATGATTAAAGAGATCTTTGCATCATGAAAGTGTTCTTCAAATTGATGAATAATGTGCTGTAGATAGCTCTATATAGAAACACTGAAAGAATCTTTATTATGTGTGTAGAGTTGAGCCGCTACCATGCTGTGGAAAATTGACTTTGGCAATTCCTGTATTACTCATCAGAGCCTGGTGTTTAATCATCACATGAACACGCACTTGTTAATTTTCAGACCATTCAGATCATTTTTTCTGACCTCTTATTGAGGTCACTGATGATGCTGTTCTGCTATCTTCTGTTGAAATAGAGAAATACCAGCTATAAACATTCCAACTCCACAGTGAGAGTGAGAGTCCAATATGTTGCCTTAGCAGCTCCCAACTGGCATTCTAGTTTTAAAACTTTACCATCTGCATACACATATTTTATCTGTATGTGTGAATAATATACATCATCCCTGTCCAAAAAAAAAGCATCTTAATAATAATGACTTAATAGTAGAGGACAAAAACATTGTTAACCTATAATAGAAATTTATGTAAAGCGATTTTATTCTTTACTTTACATTTCATTTTGAAATTTTCACAAGATGTAAAAGATGGCTGAGATGCTCAAATGATGTTGAAAAATAAAATAAAAGTATATTTTCTGATAAATTGGTAAAAATGTTTATATATGCCAGTGCCATTGGAAAAACAGTTATCCAGCTACTGGCTCCTAAAAGAAAAACATCTGTCCCCAATAACTTTTTTAAGTACCAAGTAATAATATGCAAATCAATCAATCAATCAGTCAATCACACCTTAGATCAGCTCTTTGATTTAAGTATCTCTGGCTTGGCTTCCACTGTGCCTATTTCTTGTCATATATAATGTCATACATCTTCGACACTTCAAGTCTGAGATTTGGGAGATAAATTTGGTGAAGCGTAGTTCTTCACGTGCTGTCATGTAGGCTGTGTTGAATTTAATTCTAGCTCTTTTTTCTCAGCTGTTTTTTCATTACGAGTTTAGCTCAGCTCAGCTGCTGTCACGTTTTGTGCTCTTGCTGAAATCCCACGAGCATGCAGCCGTTTTTTGATAGGTGGACGCGTCCATGTAAGATTTTAGGTTTTAAGATGAAAAATGATAAAAGAAAATAGTAATAAATAGTTAGTTAGTTAGTTAGTCTGGAGCCCTGCAGTATCATGTTCATCAGTACTTTATTATTTATTAGTTTATTATTTGTGAATACAGTAGACATGTGCCAGTATTCAGTAATTCAGCATACTGTGATATTAGCATGCACAGCAACACTGTAGTAGAC